TCTATTTTAGACATAGAGAGTCTAATTTTTCATTGCAAGAGTTGAAAGGAAGAGCAAAAGTTTTCAGAAGATTAGAGTAATGGTATTCTACTGGTTAGAGTACGTGGCATGCGCATGTATGCTACAATGGGATAGAATTCAGTTTTCGTTTATCTATACTCTTCAACATCAGCTATTTTCTAAATTGTTTAGACTGATTATGGTATTGCAATAACAGGAGTAGTTGATAAAGATCGCGTAACGCTTCCTGTTCACCTAGCAGTATCATCAAGAGATGAATCGGATCCCGTACTTAATGCAAGGTCAAGAGAGATGGATGGCACTGTTACAGTGAATAATTTGGCAATAGGAAATACTTATGTTCTTCTTCGTTATGCTTCCTACGAGTTTACTCCTACAGAAGGAGATGCTAACGATTTCATTCATTCACGTTTCGATGTTAAGCACGAATTCATCGCTGTCAACAGTACATACGTTTACGAAGATCCAAAAAAAATATCATCGACAGGATCTGTTTATTATCGATGTGTTTTAAAGCCTGATGTTGTTCGAAATTTAAGTGAATAAACTAAGGGTGAGGTGAGTGTGGGCGTAGAGCGAGAAGAACACACCTACACCCAAAAATGGTTGATATGCTACTAAAGTAAACGACAAGCCGTCTGAAAAAATCAAGCATACGTTGTACGATACAAAAAGAAGAGTGTGGGTGGATATAGTTGTGAGTGTAGGTATTGGTTTCTTCTGTTCCGCCCACATCCACACCCAATCTGAAGACCTTGTTTCAGCAGGATTCCTACAGTGTTGGTCTTAGCTTACATAGAATAGGTCATAAATGAAATGAAAAAGTGCATTGTTTTTCCGAATCCATGAATGATGCTCCCCGGACAATTGCTCCCGCGACAATTGCTCCCCGGACAATTGCTCTCCAGCGACAATTGCTCCCGCGACATTTGCTCTCATGGCATTTGCTCCCCAAGGACAGTTGCTCCCCAAGGACAATTGCTCCCCGGACACTTGCTCTCCTATGACAATTGCTCCCTGGATACTTGCTCCCTGGTGACATTTGCTCCCCGAACACACGCTTTCCAATCACATTTGCTCCCCAATTTCACTTGGCCTTAAGCTACGATTTTTTTGTTGACAAATTCAATATAATTTTTAAAGACTTAAAAATTGGTAAAATTAAGAAAAGAATGAGATGATTACAAATTCGTGCAGAATTTAAGATTCCTGAAAATTCACCAATTAATTTT